GTTATTTGAGCAATATACCTAGCAAGCGGTCGACCGATACTGTTGGAGTACTGACACTCCATTACTACAGAGGATACTGCTCGGTTAACCGCCGCCACACGTGTAATATTCGGAGTTCTAAAATAATAAGACTGGTGGTTACAAGCGGGTTTGCTACAAACTAGTACAGGTTGAAGACTTAACCTGAATGGGTTCTATAGGCAATTTACCTGGCAATAAATGCGCGGAAGCTGCTGCGAGTCTGGCAGTCCAGTTTTACTCAAGGAGCACTACCCGAAGCACGACGGCCTCTTATACAAGCTTACAGTCCATCCAAACGACGATCATACGCACAGTAAAAAAGCGTGCTAGACTTCGTGATGAAAATTTAACAAGCTTTAACGCTGCCGCCGCTCGAACTGCAAATTCCCTGTTGCTGATATAACAAAAGCGGTTCAGAAGATGTTTGCTACCGTGGAGTTCAGGAAAAAAGCCAAATCTCAACGCCGTTACATGGCACGTTACCTGGTAAGCAGTGTCAAGCAGCTGATGCTTGACGGACCCTCCAAACTATCAGTAGTAAAGGCCGGCCGATTTGGCACCAGTTTCATCACTGCCGCCTCTCGAACTGCAAGCTCCCGGTTGCTGAAACAACAAAAGCAGTACAGAAGACGTTTGCTACCATGGATTTCAGGATAAAGGCCTAATCTGAACGGCGTCTTATGGCAGATTACCTGGTAAGCAGTGGCGCGCAACTGTTGCTAGACGCACTCTCCGTCCTTTCAGTAGCGAAGAGCGGCCTATTTGGTGCCAGCTTCAAGATTGCCACCTCTCTTACAATCTCCGGATTGCTAAAATAACAAAAGAGGGTAAAATAAGGTTTGCTACCATGGACTGAGGCTGCTGCGAGTCTAAAAGTCCATTATTGCTCGAGAAATACTACCCGAGGGACCACGGACCACAGGCATAGAATCCATCCAATCGGCTATCTTACGCGCAGTAAAAGAAACGTGCTGGACTACGCCGGCCATAAACAATTTCAGGTATCGACTTCTTATCAGGTAACTTACCATGGTGCCCCTTTTAAGTTAGACTTTCATCACGAACTACTTGGTAGCACACCTCCTGTAAACTTCTCTTGTTATTTCAGCACTCCGCGGAGTGTAGTAGAGGCAACAGTTCTTCGACTGGTATCAGTTGAACCGGAAGGCTAGTCTGGCAACGGTCTCGGACGAGTGTTCTCCTCTGTGCTATTTTAGCACTCCAAGGACTCTTAATGAGGCGCCGTACTTCGAATAGATCCTGGGGAGTGTACTAATGGACTGCCAGTTCCGGAACAGTCTCGGTCAACGGCCCGCCAGGTAAACTGCCATGAGACCCCGTTCAAACAATGTTTTCAACACAAACTAAGTAGTAACAAACCTCTTTTTATAAATTGCCATGAGATTCCGTTCAAATTAAGTCCTCAACCTGTACTAGGTTGCAGCAAACCCGCTTGTAACCATCATTCTTATTATTTTAGAACTCCGAATATTACACGTGTGGCGGCGGTTAACCGAGCAGTCTCCTCTGCAGTAATGGAGTATAAGTACTCCAACAGTATCGGTCGACCGCTTGCTAGGTATATTGCTCAAATAACTTTTCAAATAAGGTCTTCACCGTGACCTGGTTGGTGGCAAACCTCTGTTTCACCTATTTTCTTATTTTAGCTATCCGACGATGACGATGGAGTCGGTCAGCGTACGTACAGCGGACTGTATTGAGCAAAACATACCTGTTGCAGAACCGGAGGGCCGGGATCCTAGCAGATTTCTTCGACTGCTCGTCAGGTATATTGCCATGATGACCTTCATAAATAAGGTCTAACTCGTGAGCCGGCTGGTGGCAAACCTGTGTTTAATCTGTTTTCTTATTGTAGCCCTCCGATGGTAACACTGGAGGCGGTGACAGTCGGTCGGGCAGCTTGCTTCCACCAGAGCCTGCCTACGGCGCAACTCCAGGGCCAATACCCCGACAGCATGGCTCAACTGCTCGCCAGGTATATTGCCATGATGAACTTCATAAATAAGGTCTACCTCGTGAGTTGGCTGGTGGCAAACCTGTGTTTGATCTATTTTCTTATTTTAGCCATCCGACGATCACAATGGAGGCGGTAACCGTACTTCAGGCAGATTGTTTCAAGCAAAACTCGCCTGTTGCAGAGCTGGAGGGCCGGGATCCTGGCATATTCGCTCGACTGCGCATCAGATATATTGATATGATGAACTTTTTAAATAAAACCTTCATCGTGAGCTTGTTGGTGCCAATCCCGTTTTTAACCTATTTTGTCATTTAAGCACTCTCGGGTCTGCAATTGAACTGCACTACTGCACTGCGTATGACTATGACTATGCTCCCATTATCTATGATTAAGGAGTCTCCACGGAATCCAAAACGTTAGGAAAATAAAACTCTTGTTCCAGTGATCCCATCCTCTACTTCTGTTGGTAAACCTTTTTTTAACCTCTAAATGTGGCGGTGGTGCTTCGACCGGGTCCTGACTGTTATAACGGTGGCCAAAAGCTGTGATGTTCCCGTCTGACTAGTGCCTCGTGTGAGCCCCGAAGGAAGAACACAACAAGAGTCGATAGGAAGCGGAAGTCCTGGTGCAATCCTAGTACAGCATACTTAAGAGCAAGCAAACGCGTCAGTACAAGTCATGCGAGTTAAAGTGCTAGTCTACAGTTTGGCTGGGCAGTTGAGCACA